ATGTTCGGCTGATGATCTGGGGGCCTCCTTCGTAACGGTATTAGGATCGGCTCTAAGGCCAATAGCACCCTCGAGACCCGCCACAGGCTCTAGATAGACAAACCTTGAAGAAACAAATGTACAAGACCGGTCAACTCTTACTTTCAGCCATTGAACACATCCGATCGCAAGAAGAGGTTGTCTCCCTTCTCTTGCCTCACAATTCTTCCTTCAGGCGAGCTGCAAGCAAGAACTAGAATTGATTAACCCACCTCTCCCTCACTGGGTTGGCCGAATGTCGTACAATAACGCGGGACTCACATCCCGGGGGACTGCCTCATTCGTGACTTGGTTCCCGCCCGCGATTCTAGCAAAATTTCCCCAACAGCGGGCACCCTGGGGACTGGAGACGGTTGGTTCAGTAAATGGCCGAGTCTTTCCACCACCCTACTCTACTCAACTAGTCGCGCAGTGCTGCTCTAGGCGCGCGCCCCTTGTCGGCGCTCGACTCCGGCCGGAAGTCACTTGTCCACGGTATGTTATCGGACGACTGTATGCGTGGAGATGGGAATTCCCGCGCTCGCACCTCTTTCCTGTTACAGGCTTTTCGATGCTCTGATAGTGTAGCTATAGCCTTATTCTGCGCACCTCTACTCTGTTTCAGGTGTTGACTCACTTCAAGTCAATTGAACTTGATGTCTTTTGCTTGGTTTACCTTGATATCGATCTCGGATCGGAGTAGTACTCGAGATGGGCTTTGCTTTTCAGTGTTGTTTGCTAGTAATACTGCAGCTTATTGGGGAGTACTTTGGTTTAGATTAAGCTGAAACGCAAAAGTGAGGATTTTCTTGTTGTGCATAGCAATTCTTGTGAATTGAATTGGTTATAAGGAACCCCGTAACACTTAGACCTAAAAACTTCCTTGGTTCCTGCATGAATGAATTTAACTGCGAACCGGACTAGATTGATTAATACACGAGTCCATAGTAAAGAGGTGTCAGGTTTATTTCCTCCAACACAAAATACGCCCCAGTTTCTTGGTGACGTGTAAGTTCCACTCGATAATTCCTATCTTCGTGGAATCCAGGAATCATGAATGCACTTTGCAACTTCGTGCTGGTGTTTAGTTCTCCTGCAGCGGTAGTCCACATCGTTTGGTCGCCACCAAGATCCTTCATTCGTATTTTCTTAGCATGAGTTTGAGGAATCCAGGTTTCCACGATCTCTGTATATCCATTAAGCACCGGAGTGTAACGGGTTTTTGGTTCCCTTTTTCTCCTTTTTAAATCTCACATAGACTGATTGAGTTTTGAGGTCTCTTGTTTTACGTTTACGAGGTTTTGGCACTGACGAGGTTAACGATGCTAAATAGATCATCAAGAGTGCTGAATTGATCAGCTTCTTAGGTCGATCTAATTTGCAGTAGGAGGTTACCCAGTTGAAGAAAAATTCTTGTTTAATAGTGTGAGTTAGCATATCCTTCATCAATTATGAGGTGAAGAAAATTCGGAACAGAGGTTCTGTTTAGAGTCACATCATCTGGGCAATCTCAGATAAGGATTTATCTCCCTCGCCAAGGATGAAATTGAATAGGGAAAGTGTATGAGGAGTCGTTTTTTGTGCGATTTCTCTTGTCCTCATAGAGGAGAGCCCGATTTATGTCACTCTGGTTTGCGCTGGAACAGGTATGCGAAGTGTTGCTGTGGTTGTCGTAGTGATCACGTCGATTCAGTTTTATCTCGTCATGTAGTCGAAGAGGAGGGAAAGAATGGGTTTGTCCAGCAACTGTTTTCTCGGGGTAAAAGTATGCCGTACCCGCCGCATGCTTTCCTTAGACGCTCTTCATATGGTGTGGAATGGCATAGGTTTGAGTGTAGCTGAAAGCTATGGGTTGTAGTATTTTTGTTAACAAAATGCACATACGCTAAAAGCTATGTAAGATCTTTCGAGTGTTTTATGTTTTGAGAGAATGAAAGTTATAGAGAGACTTAGAAAGCTAATGAAAACTATCAACGAGAGAGATCATCATCAAAGATCGGGTAGATCTGGCTTCCCGCGGGAGATCATAAAGTGTGATAGAGTATGGGTTTGGTAGTAATCCTACGTTCTCCAAGATCCATAAAACGAACGCGTGGAAGGTTTGTGTCTAGCCCTGGATCTAGTAGGGTGGAAGTGACTCCACGCTGGCTAAATATTAGAGCGGATGTTTCATTCATGACCTAGTATGACAGCGCGGTCATTGAGAAACTGTCTCAAATGACTATTCACGAGAGACTCGGAGTCATGCGAGTCGAGTCGAACTCAAACCCTATCTAGGATCGAGTCGCGAATAAGGCTAAGAGCCGTGTATTGCAAGAAGGTACTCTCCATACCTACTTTGTCAATATTTGCATGCCCGTCGCAGCAGTAGTATCTAGAAGTCCATTTGGCCGATGTGAAATTACTCAGCAAGTATCAAACTAGAGGAGTCCATTTTCCCCTCTTTTTGGATGCTTCCTTCATCAGGGTGGTTGTGGAAGCCATTGCATAAGTCAAGACCAACTCTACATGCCACAGTGGCAATACCAATGGATACAAGGGAGGGTGGCATGTAATAAAGCACTTTCTGCGGTGCACTATATATGATTCGATTCATCACCGGTAGCCAGGCAACAAACTAGACGACAAGACGATCGATGCAACGACCGCGACGGTCGATGGTGTACCGGTATGCAGGAGGAATAGAATATTATCGGATTCGCACCTCTGCTACCCGAGTTGAGTGCTCAGTCAGTTGGTTTTCTTCTTCAATCGAGTCGAGTCTGTCTATCGGTCGCACCACTACTAGCTAGTCTATCAAGCCTCAGTCAATCGGTCCGTCTCCAGTTCAGAGGTGAAAGCCGTCCTCATTAAAATCGCGAAGGTTTCCTTTTCGGCCCATGACAGTCAAGTTGGTCAGTTTTAAAGAGCAAAGGAAGTCTTCGTTTGTCTGCATTATCAGAATAGAAGAGAAAACCATATCTACTTCTTACTTTCTATTCTCTTACTGCTGGCGGCCGATGAGTTACCATTAATGCTGTACTAGTAGCTTATAGTTGTGTTGTTGCTTACAGTTACATGTATGTTGTTGTGATCTTATCCTACGGTAGTACTGGTAGTTGTCTTGTTGTGATATAAAAGTAGGTTGCTATGACATTTGTGGTACCACACCGATAGACAGGTTGCTACCACGTTGTGGCATCGCTGGTGGCTACATGTACTAGTAGCTAGCTAGCAAAAAACTTTCTTAAAACGGTGAAAAAACCTAGCGCCTGGCTCTTGGTCTTTCTAAAGGCTGGTAGCGTGGTTATTTTTTTTAATACAGTCATTTAAGCCAGTTGAGCGGTAAGCCCGTGCTTGTACCGAAGCGTAACTTGGGGGCACCCGAAGCCTGAATGAGGACGAGCGACAACGCGACGACCGAACAGAGGCCAAGCTAGGGCATACAGCAAGCAAAGTGCTAGAGGATGCCCAGGATTTGCATGTTCTGGCGGATTAGACAACATGTTCTTCGGAAAGAATGTTCCATTCGATCCTGCAGTGCAGGGAAAGCCTGGAATAATGATATTGACAGGCTAAGAAAGGCCCGATCTTTCTCGTCCCTGTCGCAGCTGGCTTTTCCACAGCCGACCATCATTCTCTTTCTCTCTGGGATCCTCCCTGAACCTTTCGCTTCGGCCGCGGGTGTCCGTACAAAGTTCTTGGTGGAGAAGTTGGCTCAAACAAGAGGTGTCCAAGCGGTACACTATGGAACAGGAGCTAAAGTCACCGAACGTAGCAATACCCAGAGGGAACTGGAAGCACTGGGGGTTTGCTTTCACCAGGTCCCTCCCAACGATTCTCAACTAATGCAGCAATTCTTGACCCAATCAGGATGCCATCAAGCAGATGCAAATGTACTGGTGGTCTTTGATAGATTCTACTCGGAAGAATACTATTCCTTCCAAATCCACAGTCAATGCCCTCAAGCAACCATGGTGCTAGATATGCAAGACATGCATGCATTGCGGTGGCATCGTCAGTCCATCATTGAGCAGCAGGATCAAGACAAGGAAGAAGGAAACGATCACGATTTTCTGACGGGCTTGCCAGTCGACACGAACTCGTTTCCACTGGCAAGTGATGAAAAGCTGCAGCGAGAGCTGGCTAGCATCCATCGGTCCGACTTGACATTGGTCTGCTCTCGCGTGGAAATGGAAGCACTTCAGCAAGTCTACCAAATTCCACAGTACAAATTGTGCTTGGCTTCCTTTTTTATGGACAACAATGCGTTACTGAGAATGACCAACCCGCTCGACTTTGACGACAGAAAGGACTTTTGTTTTATTGGTGGATTCCGACACGACCCCAATGTGGATGCTGTCTGGCAAATGAAGCGTCTGTGGCCCCGAATACAAACGGCACTATCAGCCAATGACGACAACAACAAAAATGCAAATTTTCATGTCTATGGGCCCTTTTGTCCCCGCTCTGTCCGAGACCAATGCCACGATCCAGGGGCCGGATTTCACATTCATGGGTTTGCCGACCAGCCGGTAGGAGACATTTTGAGCCATCACAGGGGACTGTTGGCGCCGCTTCGATACGGGGCTGGGATCAAGGGCAAGATACTCGATGCATGGACGGTTGGGACTCCCGTGGTGACGACTCCAATCGGAAGCGAAGGAATTGGTGCCAATAATATAGCCTGGGGGGGCGCGGTAGCCCATGGTTCCCAGGAATTTGTGGATGCGGCAGTCTCATTGCACACGGATGAAAGAACGTGGCGTCAAGCAGGGGACAGAGGACATGCCATCCTAGCAGAACAGTTTGGCATTCACAACTGGGATTCCGTAGTGGCCAGTCTCATCGACGTCGTGAGGAACAAAGGGGCAAGGCGGCAAGGAGACTATATGAGAGGTGTCTTGTGGCAGCAAACACTGAGAAGCACAGAGTTTTTCTCCAGATGGATTGAGGAAAAGAACAAAAAATGACCGACGTCTTGCTTGGATCGTGGCAAAGACATGGTTGGTAAATCACTGTACGCGAGGATCACTCCGCTGCCCTGGATATAGGCATCCTTCCCCGTCCTGAGACAGACTTGCTGCATTCTGTGATGATCAGTTACCATACTTCAGGTTGTGTAATTGTGGACTTTGGGCTTAGCTAGAGTATTCAAGGAAAGCTTCTGCTAGCGATAACATCACAAGATAAATCCATGAGTTGCAAATGCAAAGGATTCGGTTTTCTCTCTCTCGTCTTCAATCAAGCAGGCTTCGAGTGGTCCCTTCCGGGCTCCAAATGGGCTTGCCGCTCAGCTGGCTGATGATATTTACCGTGTTGAGCTCGGGTGTTTGTTCTCTTGGCGCTGCCAACTGCCAACTGCCAACCACCAAGACCAACATCGCGACCTCGGGTGCAGTCGAGTCACCGTGACGAGAGATTTAATGCCAGATTCTCCTTCAGCCACTTTTCGCACGATGTGCAATCTGGATGCAGGCTTCCCGCTTCCACAAACTTTCCCCCATTGCAACAATAGTGTTTCCGAGCAATGATGACATGATGATATGATAAAGTAAGCACAAAGCATCGATCCGAGAAACCCGCAAATACAAGTGCCGAAATCCATAAGAACAAACCAATAATCATGTGGTGGCCTCGTATCAACCTTGTCCTTTTGGCAGTAGGAGCCTTTTCATCCAACCTTGACCAGGCTGACGCAAGCAATCCCACCATCCAATATGAGTCTTTGCCAACGTGCAATCTAACAACCAAACAGCTGGGTGAAGCTGATCCCTCTGCCATCATTGAGCCATGCATTCTATACGATGTCTTCCCTTCCAATAATATCACAGAAGCACAACACAACCATAGCAGTGTTATCACTGTGGTCGGGGTGTTTCCTTCCGGTTGCCTCGAAAATCGTGATGGTGCTTTTATTGCCGTGGAGAAACTAAATAGGGACAACCATGGCAAAGGAGCAAAGATTGGATATAATGGTGACCATTATCTTCAGTTCCGGTTAGTTGTAGCCATTTCTGGAAACTACCAACAACTGCCACCTGAAGTCTATGCCAGAACTCACGGGGACCTTCTCGAGTCAATGGTTGTGTCACTCAAGCCTCAGTATATTCTGGGATCATGCTCTTATGTGGCAAAATACGACAAGAAGATCGCTGGCAAGCGCCAAACAATTGTATTGAGCCAGGTAGGTCCAGACATTTTCTACACCCAAGATTCCAATGACTATGTCTTTGGTGTACATATCCGAAGTGAAACTTATGGGCTACCAGCATTTCAAGCACTAAAGTTTAGTGTGGAGGACAGGACCAAGCAGAAGATTCGAATCCTACATCGTGACAGGTCTGAGTTTTTTAACTCTACTTGTCAGGAGATCTACAAGCATGCACTACAGGATGGATTCACTGATTCTGTTGCAATCTCATACAACCCTGAGGGTGACCATGATGATAATGGGGTGCAAAATCAGCAGGACGTGGCTTTCCTGAGAGCTCTAGCAGATGATGTTTGCCCCCCAAATCAGACAAATAGTGATGATGGTCCACAAGTTGCCATCTGGGTATGTGTCCAGACTGACCTTGAAACCAACACAATCTTGGACCGTTGGAAGGAGAATGGATGTCAGCCATCATCTTTGTGGCTCACAACGGCTGCCTGGGCTTACACTGATAGATTTCCAGAAAATATGCCCCACATACAAACAGGTGGCCAATGGCACAAGGCGATGATTTATTCTGATGAGTATTTTGCAAGTGGGCAGGCCATGCTCAAATATCTTGCTGCACGCTTTAACTATCCTCCACATTATGGTGCTGTGGGGGCATACCATGCAATCTACCTCATGTACAAAAACACAGCAAGTTTTGTGAAAACAAAGGATTTCCCCAATGTCAATGATATCTACCAAACTCAGTACGAAGAAGTTCGCCGCCACCTGTTGGGATTGAGTGTCCGTCACTCGCTCTATGGGCTGTCCAGTTTTGATGAGAACCAAAGAAACATTGGAAGGGGATCAGCTGGCATGCAATGGGGGATTCCTTTTGGATCATCAACAAACACGACTGAAATGGAGCTGCTCTTAGTTTCACCTGTAGACCAAGCTGAAGTTGCAGTTCTGGTGCCAGCACCCACAGCTTTGGATTGTCCAGCTGGTCATTATGTGAATCAATCAGTAATCGCCAATGAGAGATCAATACTAACAGACAAGTGCAGTCCCTGCCCTGTTGATAGTTACCGAAGGGTGGGGATGTCATCATATGAGTGCCAACCCTGCAAAGATGGGTCCGGGACTGATGCTTTCATGGGTGCTGCAATATGCCATCAGGTGGAAGACAATCTAATTCCGAGAGGGCTGTTGGCTTTTGGATACTGCATCATGTTGCTGTCATTGTGTTGTTCCCTTGGCTTTGCAGTTTGGACTGTTATTCATCGCCATGATGCTGTGGTCAAAATTGGTCAAATTGAGTTCCTTCTCTTGATCTGTCTGGGTTCAATGATATCAAGTTCTTCTATCATCCCACTCTCCTTCCAAGCTGGGACAAACGACAACACAAGCGCTGCATCTGCTGCTTGTGTAACGATTCCATGGCTATTCAGCACAGGATGGATCACCCAGTATGCCAGCTTGTTTGCCAAATCCTACAGAATGTTTCAGATGGTGCAAAATTCCACGGCAATGCGGCGTACTAGTGTGACAGCATGGGATGTGGCCTATGTGGTTCTTGGGTGTTTGGTAATCAACTGGGCTGTGTTGACTGCATGGACTGTGGTTGATCCACTTGCTTGGGTTCGCTATGATCTAGGGACAACTGTGGATGAAGAAGCTGGGTTCTTGACAACGGAGTCTGTTGGAGGATGCTCATCCGACAACGTGGGAGCCTGGATTGGATCCTTGTTGAGTTTTCACCTGACCATTATGATTGCTAGCAATATTCTGCTGTGGCAACTTCGTGGGGTGAGAGACCGCTACCAAGAATCCAAATACATCACCCTGGCTTCCTTGTTTGCCTGTGAGTTTCTGTTGCTAGGGGTTCCCATTTTGATTGCGGTCGGGGACTCCTCCAAGGCCCGTCATATTGCTCTTGTCTGCATTATTGGGTTGACAGATCTTGGAGTTCTCTTGTTTGTTTTCGTCCCCAAGATCAGATATCAACAGAAGGGACTACCTGATGGCATGACAGTAGGAACCAGCATCATGAAGTCAAGTGCAAATCATGGAGTTTCTGTTCGGCGAGGAAGCAGCCACATGTATGGAGAATCAACCACAAGAAGGCCAGTGGGTTTAACAGAAGAAATGGGGCTGGAACTAGACCCTGCATTGCAAGAAGAAGGAGAACAAAACCACAATTATGATGAGTTAGATCTGCGGTAGGGGTAGTGGAACATAAACATCAATGATGTGAGATCCAGGGGCCCAAAGCATGACTCAGCTTTTTGACACTCATGACCGCTCCAGTCTGCAGTCACAATCGCTGCTGACCTGCAAAAAACTACTTGTCTCACCCACTTCCTTTATTAAACTCGTGGTACTGCCACTCCACCTCCTCCGCCACCTCAACGACGAAGGGGTAGACCATGTACTATAGATACTTGTATGTTGTTGTTATGATATAGTAGAGTTGCTCAGCACCACCCACTGTCAGTATAGAGATCGAAAAAGAGGTGACCGCAGGTGTTACCGGTAGCTCTGAAAGGGCAGCCAAAATTGTTTTGGCTGCTTTTCGCGCCTTTCTGTGAAAGACTCGTCTCCTGTTGCCGTCGTTCGGTTTTCTGGCAATTCAGCACGGAAAACAAAACTCGTATCTATTTGTTGTTTTCTCTGCTGCACTGCCGACGTCTGATGAATTACCAGTGCATTTGGTCCTTTTCGAAGGATCGATCGCTACGGATATCAACAGCAAATGGAAGAGGCTTGGATCGATCGCCACGGTACGCGGAGTGTTAACTCCGGCTCCAGCAGAGGAGCTACCGGTATTGTCCTTGAGTCATTGAAGGGCAACAATCAACCGGGGGAGGCGGCAACACGATAATACGCAAGAGGCTGACATTTGAGTCGATCGATCGCCCCGGAGTGCGAGAGGAGCCAAAACCAGCTGGTGGTTGGCATTCACGAGGTGAACCTCCCGGGACTCGCTAGAACGAGGTAGACGTAGAATCCCCTTTTAATTTTTAGCTTATTCTTTTGTGTCATCCCATGTCTACATCGTACTGCACATCGGCCTCCGTTCACAGGTTATGAGCCCAACTCGTTCGTCACACTTGCACCCAAGCCGAGACTAGGTGGAGGTTGTTTACCTCATGTAATTGGCTAGTGGAGTGAGTTTGATGCGATGTTGCGTTCGAAAAACCGATGGTTGACCTCTATCGTCATGGTCGGACGATGAGAGCTGGATCTTGCCGTTTTTCGGCAAATTCAGACAAGAGAATCAGGTCACATCAAGATGATGGTGTTGACCGCAAGATCGCAAGCTCAAGCTTGAGCTGAGCTCCACGTCGAAATCCAAATGGCTGACAAACCATTCTTCGGACGACGACGACCAGGTCAGAGACAACCTACGTTGTAGTCTCGCCGTACCAATCCTAGTGAAGTCTACGCAATCCTGGATACCATTCAAGGATGATGTGGCACTTCGAGCTGGATATCCTGACATGCAAGTTCGTCAGTTGCTGGGTTGTCGCTCCTCTTTTTCTGAAGTGACCTCCAGATCACTTCGAAAATTGCGCCAATTCCAAGCCGACCATGCGCGAACTAGCACTCAACAAACCCGAGTAGAACAAGAGACTAGAGAATCGAAGATGAAGAGCTCTTCATTCCCATCTACTCACCTCAACCCTTCCGTCCTCTAGGTCGCCGCGACTCTGGTCTGTGGCCCGACCTTGGACACAGAACAACTGGATCGACGAAAGCCGACGACGTAGCGCGGTGTTGACCACGAGATTCCAGCGGTTGATGGAATCACCGCCGGCTCGACCTTGGTTCAGCGCGCGCGAGGTGCCCTGACAACCTCTCGTCTTGGCAGATTGACCTCTCGCCGTCTGACTTTCTCGCAAGATGATTCCGACGCAGCTCTCGTCGCAGGTGGAGGTGGTAGTAGCGGCACTGCCGGTGCGACCACGACCTCTACTTCTCGCAAGAAATCCAAGTCGAAATCAAAACCCAAGCCTGACTCTGAACCCACGGATCCTCCCGATGACGACGATAACGGCACTCCACCTGATCCAGAGAATCAACTTGGAAAGCCAGGACCCGGTGGTCCCGGTGGTCCAGGTGGTCCCGGTGGTCCAGGTGGAGGTGGTAATGATGATGACACCAATGATGACGATGACGATGATGATAATGGCAATGATGATGGAGAGGAAGAAGAGGAAGTACAAGACCCTAATGGTGAAGTCCTCCACCACCTCCAGGTGGATGGCCGTACCCTCACCGTTGTACTGCAAGATCCAAGTGGACCTCATCAAGCTCGCCTATGGGATAAGGAGAAGCGCCATACTCTCCGCGATGATGTTAGACAGACCTTTGTTAGAGCTGCCACAGCTCCTATTCTGGGAAAGCATGTCAAACTGGCCAAACAGTCCCTCCAGACTGATGTCCATGGCATACTTGAGCAAGTCCAGAATCTAAAGGGCATGCTCAAGACTCTCAGGATGCACATGGAGCAATATGACATCATTGATGTTTGCCACATTATGACTCCCGCAACTAATTTTGCCTACACTCCCATGATTGAGCAGCAATAAGTTTCTTGAAGGTTCAGTTCCAATACTCAAGTAGTGGACTGGGTCTCGCTGAAACCCTTCCTCAGGGACAGCGGTAGTCAGGCAGTTCAGGGAGCCTTGTCATGCCTCAGGAGTATTCCAACACCTCCAGTAGGCACCAAACCAAGGACTTGGTCCTGTCAGTCAGACAGGAGGGCCAGCAGAGCTCTCTGCTGGGCCCTTTGGGCCAGCTCTCCTCAGGAGCTGGGGGCCTTCGTTATTCAATCGTGCAGTGGCAGTCTGGGAACAGTACTATCTGCTACCTCCTACTGCTTCTGCCCGGCCTCAACAGGATAGGTATCAACTGCTTCGGTATCAATGGGGCTACAAGCTAATCAGGATCGGTCTCAATCTTTCGTACTATTTTCTTAACTATGGCAGAAAGGACGATCCTTTCTTGCTGCTTTGGTTGGAGATAAGCCAACTGCGCATGCTGGAGCTGTAGGCCAGCATAGCTGTTGGAGCTATCTCTGACGGGATCCAGAGCTCTCGCTCCTAAAAGTTATCGCTCCCCACGAGTGCGTATGGATTCGCTCTCATGGGAATGCCACGATGTACGATTAGTTACTAACTAACTATCCACAAACTCTCCCCATGAACGAAACATTCATGGGCCACTCAGCATCGACTGCTAGTGGAACACAATGCAAGATGGGGGATCTCAACTGTGGAGGGACTTGCACATGGTTGGTTGGTTGCTGGACCAAAGGTAGGCAAAGGGGTTGCCTGCTTCATCAGCATGGCCGGACTAGGTAGGTGTCGGCGGTGCTGGTTGCTATCATAGCTGTTGTTTGTTTTCTTCATATGTATACAAATATTCGTGGCTTTGCCACAGGCCGAATTCAGCGGTGGCAAGCTCTCAGTGGAGCGGCCTTCTTGCCCCGCAATCATGTCCCTTGACGGATGGGATGGATGGGCTGTACCAGACAGGGACGTAGTCTAGTTGCCCGTCCAAAAATCCAGGGACGGTGCTAGCAGCACAGACTGGAGTGCCCAAATCCTATGGTTCCATCATGGAAGCAAACAATCCAATAAGTTTCTTGAAGGTTCAGTTCCAATACTCAAGTAGTGGACTGGGTCTCGCTGAAACCCTTCCTCAGGTACAGCGGTAGTCAGGCAGTTCAGGGAGCCTTGTCGTGCCTCAGGAGTATTCCAACACCTCCAGTAGGCACCAAGCCAAGGACTTGGCCCTGTCAGTCAGACAGGAGGGCCAGCAGAGCTCTCTGCTGGACCCTTTGGGCCAGCTCACCTCAGGAGCTGGGGGCCTTCGTTATTCAATCGTGCAGTGGCAGTCTGGGAACAGTACTATCTGCTACCTCCTACTGCTTCTGCCCGGCCTCAACAGGATAGGTATCAACTGCTGCGGTATCAATGGGGCTACAAGCTAATCAGGATCGGTCTCAATCTTTCGTACTATTTTCTTAACTATGGCAGAAAGGACGATCCTTTCTTGCTGCTTTGGTTGGAGATAAGCCAACTGCGCATGCTGGAGCTGTAGGCCAGCATAGCTGTTGGAGCTATCTCTGACGGGATCCAGAGCTCTCGCTCCTAAAAGTTATCGAGCAGCAGTATGACCTCCTCTCAGACTATGCCAGGATGACTCCCCACATGGTGGGAGAATCCAACTATGTTTACAACCGGTACATTCAGGAGCCCTATGTCCGAGAGAACATGACCCTCGTGTACTCTCTTCTCAAGGCCAACACCGAAGAATCCCTTTGGAATAAATGCCTTGAGACCTATGAGACCTTTGATCCTTACCAACAAGGTGGACCCCTGATGTTGATCCTCATCCTTCATCGTATCCAAGACTCCTCTGAGGCTGCCATTCTTCGAGTGCGCGGTTCCCTCAAGAAGTTGAAGATCCGAGATCTAGAGGGAGAGAGTGTGGACACCGCTGTAACTCTCATCAAGACTGTCACTGATCTGTTGACCAGCAATGCCAGGGAAGGCAAGAGCTTTATCCCTGATGACTACACTGAGACTGTCTTGGACATCTTCCAGTCCTCGAGTAACTCTCAGTTCAACAAGACCTTCAAGGACGTGAAGGATGCAGCCCTCGCAGAATCAGATCGAACCTCCAAGCTTCCAGTTTACCCTTCCATATCTGAATTGTGTGATCAAGCTGCCAACATGTACAACCGCCTGGCTCGCCAGCCAGATGGTTGGGTCAAATCTAGCAAGAAGAAAGCCAGTGGCTTCCAAGCTCAAGCAAACACCAACTCTCGAGGAGGTGGAGGCCCTCCTCTCAAATGTTGGAACTGTGGTTCTCCTGACCACATGATGCCTAAGTGTCCCAAGCCCAAGGATGAATCCCGTATTGCCAAAGCTCGCAAGGCCTTCTTGGATGCTAAGAAGAAGTCGGGAAATTCCTCCAAGGACAAGCACTCAAGGCTTACCAAGATGTCAGAAGATGGAAAGCCTCTCATTCAGAATAAGCATGGCCAGTTCGTTCTCAACCAGAAGGTTTGGAAGGAGATGCAAACGGACCGAGCCATGATGGGTGTGATTTGTGACCACTATCGCAATAGTGCTGGTGGGTCGCAAACCAATGAGGGAGCCTCCAGCTCTCCACCCACAGATGATACCTCCTCTGGCAACGCAGACCAGTCTGCTTCCGCTCAGACTGACTCTGCAAGCAGGACAGTCTCCATCCATGATGCCGTGAATTACATGACTAATCGATGGAACACTGCTGCTTCTCATATGAGCAATTGACTCATTGGGTGGTGGAATATTCTTTGCTCAGTGTATCTTTGGAGTTTGACCTGCTGGAACTACATTTGTCCCTACATTGTTTTTCTCAGCTCTGTCCTACAACTTAGTTGGGCCTGGCCTTGTCTGGTACCTACCCTCCAGGCTCTCAGCCTTGGCAT